AGGAGTTAGTCACGAGGTGATGTATTACGGAATGAGTAAAGACACTTGTTGGTAATGAGATTGAACTTGGTATGAGGATACCGACGATCGAATCTAGGGCAAGTAACATACTGATAGACAAAGAGAATTACGTATGTTGTCATCACGGTTCGACCGATAAAAATCTTCGTAGAATGTGTAGGAGCCAATATGGGCATCCAGGTTCCGCTATTGGTTATTGACCGGAGAAGTGTCTTCGTCATGTCTACATAGTTCTCGAACCCATAGGGTCCACACGCTTAACGTTCGTTGACGATATATTGTTATATGAGTTATGTGATTTGGTGACCAAATGTTGTTCGGAGTCCTGGATGAGATCACAGACATGACGAGGAGTCTCGAAATGGTCGAGGGCTAAATATTGGTATATAGGACGATGGTATTCGGACACCAGAAGTATTTCGGAGGGTACCAGGTACTTATTGGGAGGGGGCATGCCCTGGGTGCCCTAGGCTGCCTCCCCTCCCCTCCCCTCCCACCTCTATATATGTGGGGAGGGGGCGCCACACAAGGACACAACATTGTCTTACCCGGTGTGGCGCCCCCGTCCACCGTTTACTTCCTCGTTCATAGTTTCGTAGTGCTTAGGCAAAGCCCTACGAAGATCACATCACCATCTCACCATGTCGTCGTGCTGCCGGAACTCATCTACTACCTCGTCGTCTTGCTGGATCAAGAAGGCGGAGGACATCACCGAGCTGAACGTGTGCAGAACGCGGAGGTGTCGCGCGTTCGATACTAGATCGGTTGGAGCGCGAAGAAAGTCGACTACATCAACCGCGTTGTGCAACACTTCTGCTTACAGTCTACGAGGGTACGTAGACACGATCTCCCCCTCGTTGCTATGCATCTCCATGGATAGATTATTGCGTGAGCGTAGATTTTTTTGTTTTCCATGCAACGGTTCCCAAAATGACGTTGAACACGTTGTCATTCCCATGCGACCATAAGCTCTGTAGGACGAGCAAAGTCGCTGCCATGCTGGCAGCAGAGAGCATCCCATCACACTCTTTGCTAGCTCACCAATCCATCAGATCACTATCTACAGTGGGAATCAACACATGTTTCCCTAGTGCGTTAGTATCACCGTCCACATTTGTCTCGTAAGCACACATCCCAAGAGTAAATGTTGTAGGGTCTCTAGATCCTGATCGCAGAACGGGCACACAGTTGGGCCAGGCAGCCCTTGCCTTCCCAGCCTATCAGAAGTCTAGCACCTACGACGTGCCGCCAACTAGCCAAACACCTTACAAGTCAAAGGTGCCCCACTATGTGCGCCCACCGACTAGCACCAAATAAGTATGCATCTCTCTCCCATGTCCAAACCAAGCAATCCTCCATGCCGTCCTCCAATACAATGTCAGCTAACCTATCTCCAAGGAGAAGGACTTCACGCAGTGCTGGAGCCGACATCTCCGGGCTCATGTCCTCCCACCAGCCACCACTAAGAGCATCTCTAACAAAACACACCTTGATTTTAGGCTTTTTGACGAAGGCCACAAGGTTAGGTGTGAGTTTCAGCATTCGGCCATCCTCTAGCCACCGGTTCTCCAAAAAAGAGCATTAGCCCCATCTCCAAGTCGGGTGGTCATTGTCATGTAGTATAAAGCCAAGGACTTCACGGGAACTTGTATGTTGAACTCCTTCCATGGTTTGGCATCCATCACTTGCTCCATACATGGCCATCGAACCCTAAGCGCCAAGTTAAGCAATCTCAAGTTGGCATCCCTAAGCATATAATATATTTCATTATGCATATTGATTACCTTTGATCCCATTTCGGATGTAGACAATCCCAACTTTTTTCCACAAGGGTGACCCTAGGCATCGAACCCATAGGAAGTACTGCTAGCACACATGGATCTATTGTTGTCGTTAGAAGTTCTAATTTCCCAGACCGAATATCATAGTTGCAGAGAGAAAACAATGACATGGAAATAGGCAGGAGGACTTTACTTACGACCTTATACTTGCACTTAGGATTTGTCTTAATTTCCAACATGGCCCCGATAGACACCATTATGATGTGTTCTCAACGTGGCGATGTGGGGGATGCATCCAAATATCGTCACCACCGATCAGCAATCTGTGTGAGTCTATTGTCCAACTAAGGCCCTTACCATCGCATGGGGTTACCTCATTTTATTAAGAATTTCTCTAGACCAACACATTGGTCGTTTAATGACTACACCTCATGGTCCCCAAGGAGTTGCTTTCATTTATTTTACTAATCCTTACTGTCACCGGCTTTCAATATAGCCTTCCACACATACCTACACTTTACCTCCTCCTTGCTTGATCTACATGATCATGGGTACTTGTGGGGCCTTTGAACGAGACACAGACAAGAGAAATCCATTGTGATAACACATACAAATAACATTCAATTAAGCAAGGTCAATACCTATGATTAGCCCAACGCCTGCGGGGATTACTCACTCATCGTAATCAGATCGGAGACGGGAAACACTGTAGATGGCATTGATAGATGAATGATTGAATAAGGTCGTAAAATGTCGTCGTATGCAACAAATCGATTACATGTATGGCAAACTATGGGGAGAATGGCTACAAAGATGAAGATGGAGATCATGGCGGCTAGGGTTTCTCCTGGAGGGCTTTTTCACAGCAACATTGATTCTAGTGACTCTCTATTCTCCTCGACTACCCTCGGTTACAAATGGGACCTCAAGCCTTTTGTAAAGTGTGTTGGGGCTGGCGTCTTCGAGTAGTTAGAAGGTGGTACCAGCACTCACATCCGTACCATACATCGTCTTCTACGATGTTTCCTCCTATGCGCCCCCAGTTGATTTGGCTTGATTTCCACACTTCATATTTTCATTTATAGCTTAATTTCCTTCTCTTTAATGATCCATTTCATGCAGAAATAATTTAAACCAAGGGAGTTGATTTTTTGCATTTATTAGTCACTAGTGATGAGATCGAAGTAATTTTATGAGAATATCTAGGATTATTCGGTGTAAATAATGGCGGAATGAGTGTAAAGAATACACTCATCAACCTCCCCAAGCTTAAATCTTGACCGGCCTCGACAAAAAAAACAAAATACTAAGGAACTCATTGAATCCATTTCTGCACCCGAGCTTAAATACTAAGGAACAAAATACTAGCTTAAATTTTGTTTAACGAAAATCCATTTCTGCACCCGAGCTCATCTGCACCTGCCCCGACGAAAAAAATCAAAACAAATACTAGAAAAATTCAAAAAAAATCATTTTTTTGTGCGGTAGACAATTTGATGCGTGAGGTCCGCTCCAATTTTCACATCATTGGGACATCTGAGGAGCTCTCAAAAAAAAAGACAAATTGGGGTCTGTAAAAATGTTTACTGTCCATGTATTGTTTTGGCCCGATTTGTCTTTTTTTGCTGAGAGCTGCTCAGGTGTCCAAATAACTTGCAATTTGGGGCGGGCCTCACGCATCAAATTTTCTACCGCATAAAAAATTGTAATTTTTTGAATTTTTTCAAAAAAAATTGAATTGTTTTCTAACCGGTTGCAGATAAGTCTGGGCACTGAAACGCCCTACTCGTTGTTTAAACCAAAGTAATGAGAATGTTTTAGTTCGCTTATGATCAGTGCGCCTAGATAGCCCATCGCTTTCTTCACCTGAAAACTTAGCATAGTTGTAGTGGCAACAATAGTTATTGAGCAAGCTTGTTAGACCAAGATAATTAACATAATTAGATAAAGTAATCAACTACAATTGTTCTAATTCGTCTAGCAACCACTTGCTTGCCGGGAACACTTTTGGAAGAAAAACATTATTTAAGGGAGTGAAAAGTGTAAAGACAAGACGGTGCTTAGAGAAACTCACTAACACCCACGAGCATTGCCTTTTCAAGGCTCACAATTACTCCTTCCATTGTTTCTTGCAGAAACTTTTGTCTTACGGTGATGAGACCATGCCAAAGAAACAATACATGCAAACGGTAGGGTTTTGTTGTGGCTTAAGTCGAATATTATGGACCAAGATTTGTCTCGCGCATTGGTCAATATTCTTTTTTTCCACATACACACTCCCTCGAGATAAAGCCGAATAATATTCGTCATAGCATTGCTGCTATGGACTTTAACCAACTTATAGCCAAAATCTGAGTCGAGACTCTGATAGATCGTTCACAAGTCAGCAGAGTTGTCAACCTAAACTCAAGAGGGGTAAGAAAGTCATAGTAAAACGCATCAAGCAACATATGGTGACAAGGCCATGGAGCACGCTTCAACCAATATACCATGTACCGCATAATAAATTTTGGCATGTAATAATCTCAGTCACCTCTAACTTGCTTTCTCTGGACAAATCTTTCTACAAGTGCTATATTGAGTCTATCAAATTAAATACTATGTGGTTTAGTGTTTCTAATACCATCTTCTTTTATCAAGTTTTCTCAACACCCAAGTCTTTTGAGAGACTTTTTCTTATGCATGATTATCTCGTTATCATTAGTTTATTTGAAACCAGTCTCACAGCAAGTCTTGGTTATCTAGATGAGACAGAACAAAGGCTTCTTAATTAATTTTCCTAAACGAATAAAATCGTAGTATTAACTATCAAGACCTACACCCACTTGAATAGATAACACATTCTACTACTACAACTAGCATAAGCATTTCAAGCTCAAAAAGCGGGAGTCATAGGACATAATTCAGATCCATGAATGTTCACGCTTCTCTTCCTTATGGTGTGTTCTCGTCACTCGGCGTAGATCAACTTTGTTGTACAAAGAATTAGCGAAAGATTCAAAGGAAAAACACAACTATAAAGAGTGAATGAATTTTTTTATATTTTTGGAATTTGAATGATAACTTGCAAAATACACGAATAAAATGATGAGCAAAGCAAAGCTTTTAAAAACCAACTAAAGAAAAAGACAAGCAAAGTGTTGGAACCGACCAACACGAGCTTTTTGAAGCTCTTCAATGAGCTTAAGTACAACCATATTACAACTTATTCAAATAAATGCTTCCACATCTTGATATAAACGTGAAGACAACCTCCCCAAGCTTGGGATTTTGCACGCCCAAACTCGAGAACTCATTGTGGGATGCCATGTACTCGGTGTTGCCTGAGAGAGAGTTGGCGAGGTCGTTCATGTTTTTTTTTCGAGAATGGAGGTCGTTCATGTTGTTGATGGAGTCTCCAAGGTTGTATGCGACGACGTATGTGGTGTAGGGCGTCCCCCCTTCAATGCCATCCTTGGGCTGCACGTCTTGTTCCGGTGCGGGTTCTCCTTCATCCACCTCTTCTCTTCGGGTTAAGGAGCCTCTTGGTCAAAACTCAAAAGTCTCTTCCTCTTTTTGTGCAACATAATGCAAAATTCCCTCCTCGACCGAGAAACGTTTAGGCATGGGAGTGAGCAACAAATGTCCCACTCCAGTGATACATATGTAGTAATGACCATGAGCAGAAACTAACATCCCGACACCATGGATAACATGAATATTAACAAGACGGTTCTCTCCCAACGGGTTCAAGCCGGCAAGGTCGAGGCCAAGGGAGTTTTCCAAGATGGTGACGAATCCTCCGCAAGTGATGTCGTCTTGCGCGTGGTTTGCTTGTTGGGTGAGGTGAAGTAGAAGAATTGCACCTAAGTTCAGCGTGATGTCCGTGTTGGGGTTTGCGGCTTTCCTAATGAAGAGCATATTTTCTTCTTTAACTTTTTATACTTCTCCATGTTACTGCAACTTCTTAGTGATGACATAATAAAAATATCGAATAGCAGGACACCCAATGAAACTGGCCCTATGCTTATGGCCTTCAAAACTTATTTCATAAAGTGGATGTACTGGACGTGGGTGTAGAACGTGTGGATGTAACGGACATGACCGTATTTGTTGGTGCAGCCAAACTGAGTGCACCACTCCGCTAGGGACATATCGAAGCTTTAGTCCACCGGACGGAAAGTATCCGTGTGCGTGTGTGCA